AGAGGGGTTTGGGGGGTCTCTGAGGGGGTTTGGGGGGTCTCTGAGGAGGTTTGGGGGGGTCCCAGAGGGGGTTGGGGGGTCCCAGAGGGGGTTGGGGGGTCTCTGAGGGGGTTTGAGGGGTCCCAGAGGGGTTGGGGGGGGTCTCAGAGGGATTTGGGGGGTCTCTGAGGGGGTTTGGGGGGATCCCAGAGGGGGTTGGGGGGTCCCAGACGGGTTTAGGGGGTCCCACAGTGGGTTTTGGGGCCGATCTGGGCAGTTTCGGGGTCACCTCTTGGCCAACTGCTCCACGTTGTACCCGGGGCTGGGGTCGTTGGGGATCTGCAGAGAGACCCCCCAAATCTCAATTAACACCTGTTAATTACCCCCAATTAACCCCCAGACCCAAATTAACCCCCAAACCCCAATTAACCCCCCTTAACTACCCCCAATGAACCCCCCAGGCCCCAACTGACCCCCGTTAATCACCCCAAAACCCCCCTGTCAGCCCCCAACCCCTAATCAGCGCTAATTAGCGCTAATTAGTGACCTGCAGCAGCCGGGCCAGGCGGTCGATGCAGTTCCCCACGGCCACGTCCAGGGTCTCCCCCAGGATCCGGTACCGGCGCCGCGAGTACGAGATCACCTGGGGGCAATTAATTACCCAAAATCCTCGTTAGTGACCCCAAACCCTCCTTAGTTACCCCCAAAGTCTCATTCATTACACCCAAATCTCATTCATTACCCCCAAAACTCATTTATTGCCCCAAAAACCTCATTGATTACCTCCCAAAACCTCACTAATTGCCCCCAAAACCTCACTAATTGCCCCCAAAACCTCACTAATTACCCAAAAATCTCATTAATTGCCCCCAATCAATTGATATCAATCTCATATCATCTGATATCACCCAATATCACTGAAAATCACCCCAAAACCACCTGGGATCATCCTGATATCACCCCAAATCACCCCAAAACCACCTGGTGGCAACCTGATATCCCCCGGTGTCACCTGATGTCACCTGGAATCACCCCAAAACGACCCCAAAATCACCTGATATCACCCCGATATCCCCCAGTGTCACCCGATATCACCCCAAAACCGCCCGGGATAACCCCAAACCCCCCCACACCCCCCCGAGCCCCCACCTGTGTGTTGCCCCCGCTGACGTAGAGCACGGCGGGGTCGGGGGCGGCCCCGAGCAGCCGCCCCATCTCGATGTGCCCCACGCAGTGGTTGACGGCGAGCAGGGGCAGCGCCCACAGCTGGGCCAGCGTGCGGGCCACCGTGGCCACCACGGCCAGCGGGGCACCCATGCCCGGGCCTGCCCGAAAACGGGGTCAGTGACCCCAAAAACGGGGTCAGTGACACCAAAACCACAATAACTGACCCCAAAATGATCCATGGGAACCCCCCAGACACCCCTGGGACCCCCCCAACCACCACCCAGCCACAGCTGGGCCAGCGTGTGGGCTACCGTGGTCACCACGGCCAGGGGGTGTTTCTGGGTTGGTTTTGGGGTGTTTTAGGGGTGTTTTGGGTCCCTCTCACCCACCTTTAGTGAAGGCCACCCCGTCCATCTCCCCGGGGGTGTTTTCAGGGCTGGTTTTGGGGTGTTTTAGGGGTGTTTTGGGTCCCTCTCACCCACCCTTGGTGAAGGCCACCCCGTCCCTCTCCCGGGGCTGTTTTTGGGGTGTTTTAGGGGGGTTTTTGGGTCCCTCTCACCCACCTTTAGTGAAGGCCACCCCGTCCCTCTCCCGGGGCTGGTTTTGGGGTGTTTTAGGGGTTTTTGGGTCCCTCTCACCCACCTTTGGTGAAGGCCACCCGTCCATCTCCCCGGGGGTGTTTTCAGGGTTGGTTTTGGGGTGTTTTAGGGGTGTTTTGGGTCCCTCTCACCCACCTTTGGTGAAGGCCACCCCGTCGAGCTCGGCCGGCCCCACTCCCGCGTCCCGGAGCGCGGCCCCGACCAGGCCGAGGAGCCGCTCGCGGTGGTGCCGCCCGGTGGGCCCGGGGGCGAACCCTGAGGGGGGGGACAGGGGGGCACAACGTGACGTCACACGGGGGGGTCCCGCTCGCGTCACGCAAGGGGGGGGTTTTGAAGGGGATCGTGACGTCACCGTGTCCCGGCGGGGTGACGTAGGTGGCGCGGCGGTTGCTGAGGACGGCGCCGTCCCGCACGACCCCCGCGCCCACCTTGTTGGCGGAGCCCTCCAGGCCCAGCACGGTCGGCATGACGTCACACGGCCCCCGGGAAAAAGAAAATGACGTCGCGGAGCTCCCGGGTCTTCTTCCCACCGCTCCGCGCTCCCGCGCCGTGACGCCACTTCCGCCCTCCCCTCACGGCGGCTCCGCCTCCCTCCTCGTGTCACGTGACACCGCCCCGTTTCCGCTTCCGGCCACGCCCCCTCCCCACGCGCTGCCCACCGGTTCCATTGAGTAGTTCCCGCGCGCGGGAAGCGCTCGCGCCGCTCGCGGCGGCCGCCGATTGGCTGAGAGGAGAGGAGGGGGGGGCGCTGAGGTACGGCGGGCGCTGATTTGTTGCGAGAGCGGGAGGCGGGACTAACCGGGAGAGCGGCGGGCGCTGATTGGTTGAACGGTAAGGGGGGGGGAAATGAGGTACGGCGGGCGCTGATTGGCTGAGGGAGGGGGTTGATTGACAGGCGGCGTGGGTTGGGCGGGCGGGTTTAACCGGGAGAGCGGCGGGCGCTGATTGGCCCCGGTTCGGGCCTCGCGGCCGCTGATTGGCTCCGGTTCGGGCCCCCTCGGGCCCTGATTGGCTCCGGTTCGGGCCCACGTGTCGGCGGCGGGCGCTGATTGGTTGCTGGGGGCGGCGGGGGGGCGGGCCTGAGGCCCTGTGCGCGCTGTGATTGGCTCTCTGGCGCAGGGGGCGCGGCCTAAGCCGGAAAGGGGCGTGGTCTCGGTGATGCCGAAGCGCGGGAAAAAGGAGGAGGCGGCGAAGGACGGAGAGGGGGGTGAGTGACCAGCACGGACCAGTATAAACCAGTATAACCCCCTATAACCCAGTATGGCCCAGTATAACCCAGTGCAACGCAGTACAACGCAGTATGGCCCAGTATAACCCCCTATAACCCGGTATAATCCAGTGCAACCCAGTACAACCCAGTATGGCCCAGTATAACCCAGTGCAATGCAGTATAACCCAATATGTCCCAGTATAACCCCATATAACTCAGTATGTCTCAGTATAACCAGATATAACCCAGTACAACCCAATATAACCCAGTACAACCCACTATAACCCAGTACAACCCAGTACAACCCAGCACAACCCAACACAACCCACTATAACCCAGTACAACCCAATATAACCCAGTACAACCCACTATAACCCAGTACAACCCAACACAACCCCGCAGGAGCCGCCCAGCCTGTCCCAGTGCCCCCACTGACCCCCCCGTTCCCCCCCAGTGCCCCCCAAGGTGCCCAAGGCCTCCCCCGCCCCCCAGTACGAGGACCCCCCGCTCCGGGAGGAGACCCCCGGGGGGCGGCGCTGGACCCTCAAGGTGACCTCGTGGAACGTCGACGGGCTGAGAGCCTG